GGCATCACCCCAGAATTCCTACTTTTAAAAAAATAATAGAGGCATCTATTCAAATCAATCATACATCTTGGCAGACTTATTTTAATCCACAACGAATAAGGAGACTTTTATTGAGTACTTCCTACACACAAACTTCTAAATGCCTAAAGTTGGTATTTAAAATATAAAAGACGGTTCTTGCCCTCCAGGTATAGGTGTATAAAAAATAAGTATAATAGAACCTCCATAATTGACCACCTCCCTACATTGACTACCTCCTTAAGTTAACCAAATTTTCATAGACTGGACATGCACCACATGTCCATATCAGTACAGCAGGCCTAATTCTTTATGTTGACCACATCTGTATGTTGACTAGTTTGTCTCTTGGGTGGTCAACTGACAGGGGTCCTACTGAATAATAGTTGGAAGCCCATGATGAATACAAATTGATATTGAGAAGTTGAAGATTTCTCAGGGGATAGGATGATTTATTTATTCATTCAACCAGATGTATAAAGCATCTCCTACACTCAGGCATTATTCTAAGCGCTAGGGGCACATGCAGAAAGTCTTTGCTGTCATACAGCTTACATCCTAGTAAGAGAAAGTACAGATAAACAAGCAAATATACATGTATATCATAATGTCAACAAGTAATGAGTGTTATGAAGAATAATAAAGTGGGGTAAGGGGATTGAGAGAGACCCTGATAGGGAAGGTGTGCTATTTCAGATCAGTTCTGAAAAGAACTTTCTGGGAAGAGAATATTTTAATGGGGAACTGAATCATAGGAAGCAGTGAGCCACACAGAGGGGTAAGGAGTTCCAGGTAAAGGAAATGAAATGTACAAAGGTACAGACAGGAATTAGATGGGCAAGTTCCCGGAACAGCAGAGGTCCAGCAGCAGCTGGAGAGCAGTGAGCCAGGGGAGAATGATCAGAGAGAAGCCTAGTGAGGAAAGTGGGCACAGTGCTGTGTAGGGCCAAGCAGGCCACTCTGTGTGTGGTAGGAGGCCATGAAGGTTCTAGCTGGTGCCCAGTGTGATCAGACTCAGGCTTTAAGAACATCACTGGCTTTGAGAGGAATGGTTTGTACAAAGGTAAAGAGAAGGAACCAAGGCCAATTTGGGAGGTGCACTAGTTAGGGTAGGCCAAACTGCTATAACAACCAAAAGTGAATTGGTTCAAACACAGTAGAAATTTATTTCTCATTTGCATTAACAGCCCAGGAAGGGGCTCCAAATCAGTGAGAGGCTCTCTTTCATGCAGTGATTCAGGGAGCCAGGCGCCTTTATTTGTATGACTTCACCCTCCCCAGGACCTTGTCATGTGCAAAGAAAGTCAAAACTGCGTCACTAGACTTCAGGCAGAGTAAGGAGAAAGTGTACGGAGAAGAGGCACACATTCCCATAAAGACATTGGCCCAGAAGCGGCACTCACCATTTCTGTTCACATTCTGCTGGGGAGAACTTAGTGACGTGGCTATACCTGACTGCGAGGAATCCTGGGAAATGTATTCTGGCTGTGATCTCTACTGTAGGAGCCCACTGTGCGTGAAAATCGAAAGTGGGGCTCAGCACCCGTAGCACAGTGGTTAGGGCACCAGCAACATGCACTGAGGCTGGCGGGTTCAAACCCAGCCCGGGCCAGCTAGACAACAGTGACAACTGCTGCAAAAAAATAGCCAGGTGTTGCAGTGGGTGCCTGTAGTCCCAGTTACTTGGGAGGCTGAGGCAAGAGAATCGCTTAAGCCCAAGTGTTTAATGTTGCTGTGAGCTGTGACGGCATGGCACTCTACCAAGGGCAACATAGTGAGACTCTGTCTCAAAAAAATAAAAATAAAAAGTAAAAATAAAATAAAAAAGAAAAATGAAATGAAAGTGAGTTGGATGAGGATGGGAGCCACGGAGGTGGTAAGAGGTAATCATAGCAGAATGTATTTTGGTGGTAGAATCAACAGGACTTACCAATGGAATAGATGTAGGTTTGAGAGAAAGAAAGGAGTCAGGGTTCACTTAGATGTTTTTGTAAATGGCGGGTGTCATTTACTCGGATAAAAAAGACTTGGGGGGGAAATAGTTTTCTGTTTCAACCATGTTAAGTTTGAAGTGCTTATCAGCAAACTAAGGGGAGATATTGAGGAGAAAACGAGGTGTTCAAAACTTAATTTCAAGGGAGAGGTTGAAAATGATGTAAACTTGGAGTCATTGGTATATCAACAGTATTTAAAGCCATGGAATAGATGAGATCTCTTAGGAGTGGGCATATATAAAAGAAAGAAGAGAGCTGATGATTGGACATTGGGACACTTCGATATTTTCAGGTTGGAAGGAAGAGATGAGCCAGCAAAGGAGACTGAGTGGGCAGTGAGATAGGAGAAAAACCTGGAAAGGAGAACGTGACCATGTGTGTCCAATGCTGCCTGAAGGTCAAGTGGAATGAGGACCAGCAGTTGGCTGCTGAATTTGAAAAGATTTCAAATCACTGGCAACTTCAGTAAGAGTGGTTTTAGTGGAATGGTGTATATAGTCTCAAGAAGGGAATGGTGTACATGGTCTTAAGAGTAAGGAAATAATGGGACATGAAGATTGCACAGCAATTCTTTTGAGGAAGTTAGCTATAAGGGAGACAAAGAAATAAGGCAATAACCAGCTATGACCTGGAGACATATATTTAGTTAGGAGAAATTACAGTGTATTTGTATTTGATGGGAATGATTCAGTAGAGGACAGAAAAATTAAGGTGAGAGTAAAGTCTCTGAACAGGCCAGATGGGGTGGGATCCAGGGTATAAATGCAGGGATGGGCCTTAGGTGGGAGCAGGACGGTTTGCCTGTTGCAAAAGGGGGGAAGGCAGAATAGAGATGCAAGTGACTTGGCAGATTTGGTGATAAGAGGATATAAATGTTCTCTTTGGAGAGGAGAGGTTGTGAATGTGTTATGCATTAATTGCTTAGGTATGGGATGGCTGAGGAATGTGGAAGCAAGTATATATGCAAGGGAATGCTGATAATCTTGGACTCTGGGACCTGAGCTAGGTGATGGAAAGTGCTGTGAAAAAGTGTATAAACGCTTCCCTGACCATTGTTTCGGGGCCACTCTCTTCTGTGACCACTTTAATGGTGGGAGTGACCCGAGCATATGCCTGATAGAGAAATAAAACTTGGTTTTCCATGTGTGCATGGTCTCTCGGTGGCATATTGGGTCCTAACAAAAGCAAAAACATACTAGGGAAATTATCCAAAGATCCTTCTGTAGACTTATGAATAGTTGGAGTGAGGAACAGCAGAGCAAATGAGCTAAAAATTATTTTTAAAAAAGGAAGCTATGGGGTGAGAGTAGATTGCTTAAAATTCTGATTTAGGAAATGTAAGTTTATGGGTAATGACAAACCTCAAGTGTGGCTAAGAGAGTTTATAGTTGAGGGGAGTAAAAGGAAAGATTGTTGGAGTGAGGCTTTCAAGGAACCCCAGGAGCAGGGCATTGAATGAGTTGTTTATGTAGAAGTCACTGAAGTCACCAAGAATGATGATGGGAAGATGGTGAGCTGGAGGCTGAAATGATTAACAAGGTGCAGTGACCAAGCTTATTAAGGACTGTAATGATAAAGGGGAAGGTGTGAAATAGTCTGATGGTATGAGCTTCAAAGAGGATAGGTCATAAAGCCACAGTGACCAGAGAGGACAGAAGCTTGACCAGGAACACTCAGTGAGTACCCACTGCATGCCAAGCCCTCTGCTCAAGATAGGTGTGGTGTAGACCCACAATAAAGTATATTGTCTGGTGGGTGAAGAAACATGTAATCAAATATACAACAACAAATAATGGGGAGTGTTAGGAAGGAAAAGAAACAGGCCTTAAGGGAATAAATTTCGATTTTTGTTGTGGGGGTTGCTTTCTGTGAGGAAGTGCTGAGATCTGAGGGCTGAATAGGAGTTAGGCAAGCAGAGGGCCAGCCCATCCCTGAGAAGAGTGTCCCAGCTGCATTCCAGGGACCAACAAAATATCAGAAGTGGCTGAGATGGGAAGGGGGATAGCATGTGAGATAGGACTGGGACACGCTGTGAGAAGGAAGGGGCTGGGCACAGTGCTGGTGAGGACAGGGCAGTCCCTCTGAAGCAGAGATTTGGTGTTGGAGAATAGAGGAAGCCCAGTTAGGGAGCTGTCAGCCACATTCCTGAGCAACAAGCAAGAAGGTGAGAACTCCTGAAGGCTTAGTGCTGAATGGAAGTGTAAACATACAGCAAAGTTAATCCAACAGACCATTTGTTTGAATCACTATTGTAGCATTGAGGGTAATTAGACCATATTGTTAAACAATCTAGATGCATTTTCATGGTTAAATGGAGCATTTCTGGAACCAGTTCAAAACCAGGAAGGCAGAGCTGAAGAGCGTAGGGCTCTGAGAAGCTTGGACATGTCAGAAATCCCTTGAGGACAAGGCGGAAATACACATTTGTTTATTGTCAGACCTCAACTGCCAGAGGAAGGAATCAGAGGACCTATTCTCCCTCCCCCCTGCTCCTCATCACTTTATGGTCTACACCTGAGATCAGGCGAACCTGAGCTAATCTTCACAGTCAGAAGGTTGCGCTGACCATCCCACAATAGATTGGGCCAGCAGATCCAGTGGTCATACTTGGGAGCCAAGACCAAGGCTGTGCAAGATCCTACTCTATCCCCTTACCTCTAACAGAGAGGGGCTATCTGAACTTCCCATTCCCCCAGACAACAGACCTGGCCAGATGTGTAGTGGGCTTTAAAGGAGCTTCCCTCTCCATCCTGCCCCTCCTTTCCTTTCCTTCTCAGATCCTTGGCTGGTGGGAAGGCTTAAACGCTTCCTTCCATCTTCTCCAAGAGTAAGTAGTAGCACTTGTCCTTTAGGCTAAGTTACAAAAATGGGTAAGAGGAGCTCATAGATATTTGCTTATAAAAACAGAAGAGAATTTTGTAGCAAATTGATAGCCAAGGATTGAATTTAAATCCAAATCTAATCTACTTAATCTAATTTATTTTTTAGATTTCTTCCTGAAGTCTAGGCTCCAGGAACAAGATGTCCACAGGAGACCAACTTCTTTCTACACGTATATATGTAACCCTTGGGTCTCCCTGTTGGGGGTGAGTAACTTTATCTTGATCTAATTGTCATTGGGCCATATCAGGTGGAGATGTGTGATGTTGGGGGCGTGGAGAGAAAGAAGGAGAGCTTAATTAGAAGCAGTGTGATTTAATTACCTGATATATTAGAATTTAGGTGAGACCACATATGGCAAAATTACATTTAATGAACCACTTCTTTTATATTTATTTATTTATTTATTTATTTTGAGATACAGTCTCATTCTGTTGCCCAGGCTAAAGTGCAGTGAACATGATCCTAGCTCACTATAGCTTCAAACTCCTGGTCTCAAGGGATTTTCCTGCCTTGGCCTCCTGAGTAGCTGGGAGTATAAGTGCATGCCATGGTGCTTAGCTAATTTTTCTATTTTTAGTAGAGATGGGGTCTTGGTCTTGCTTGGGCTGGTCTCAAACTCAAGCAATCTTCCCAGAGTGCTAGGATTATAGGTGTGAGCCACTATGCCTGGCCTGGATCACTTATTTTAATCAATGATTTATTTTTTAAATAATTAATAGTCTCCAATAACCTTTGCATTACTAAATTTCTAGGCTAATGGAAAATTAGCATAATGCTATTCTAATTTGTTTCTTGTAGGGAGGAATGGGATGAGGAGCTAGGATAGAATATCTATTTGTTGATGGCTTTGATTAAAGGGTCACTTTTGGAGGGTCTCTTCTCAAACACCTGCTTAAGTGAAGTTCATTAAATTATGAGTGAATGTCAATTATTCAGACTTTTACAGTGATCAGAAATTGATGAGAGGGACTACTTACTCTTAAGGCCTTAGCCTTGTGGCTTGCCTACCATGTGGGAAGCCATTAGGTGGAGATAAGCGATGTTGGGGGTGTGGCCCTTCCTTCTCTGTTTCTACAGGCTGTTGGGTCCCTTCTCATCATGTTTGTGATCCAGTGGGTCTATACCCTGGTTAACATGGGTGTTGCTGCCATTGTGTATTTCTACATTGGCCGGGCCAGTCCAGGACTTCACCTAGGTAAGCAGCAAAGCCATTTGCCACCACTTCTCTCATTCTCTTTAGCACTCATTGAAAAAAAAAATGTTGGCTCGGCACCTGTGGCTCAACTGGCTAAGGCGCCAGCCACGTACACCTAAGGTGGCGGGTTCAAATCCCCAGCCCGGACCCGCCAAACAACAATGATGGTTGCAACCAAAAAAAATAGCTGGGCGTTGTGGCGGGCACCTGTGGTCCCAGCTACTTGGGAGGCGGAGGCAGGAGACTCGCTAGAGCCCAGGAGTTGGAGGTTGCTGTGAGCTGTAATGCCACGGCACTGTACCCAGGGGGACAGCTTGAGGCTCTGTCTCAAAAAAAAAAAAAAAAGAAAGAAAAAAAAAGAAAAAAAAATGTTTTGAACGTCTGTTAAATGCCAACACTGACTTAGATATGAATCCAATTTTCAAATCATTTATAGTCTGGAAGGAGAACTATGATATACACATAAATGATTACAAATGAACAATAATAACTTATTGTAAGATTTATAAGGCACATAGAAGTAAAATGCACAACCATACAAGAGCTAGCTAGAAGGAATGAAATGGAAGTATACTTCTGTTATAAGTTTCTTGTACTATATATTAAATACCATAATACTACTTAAAGGTAGGTTGTGGTAAGTTTAGTAAAGCAGCCCACTAAACTAACACAACACAGAATTATAGCTAAACTAATAAAGAAGATACAGTTGAATGAAAAAATACACAAATCAAAATAAGGCAGAAAAAGAAGAAAGAGATAAAGGACATACAGGACACACAAAAAACAAATAGCAAGATGATTATATATATGTATATGTGTATGTATCTATATGTATATATGGCATATATAGGGTATATATAGGTATACCATATATGTATGGTATATAAAGGTATATATATGCAAATATATACCTAGCCATATCAATAATCATATTAAATACAGATGGTCTTAAGTGTCAAAGATTGTTAGATTGAATAAAAAAGCATGATCCAACTTATATGCTGCTTACAAGAAACCTCCTTTAAATATAAAGACACAAACAGATTAAAAGTGAAAGGATGGAAAAGATATACTGGGCTCATACTAATCAAAAGGAGGCAATAGTGGCCGTGTTAACATTCGACAAAGTGATTTTAGGAAAATATTTCAAGGATAAAGAGAATCATTTCACAAAGAGAAAAATTTATCAAGAAGACACAATAAACGTGATTTAGGCACTTAGAACATTAAATTACATAAAGCAAAACCTGATAGACTCCAAGAAGACATAGAAAAGTTCATAATTATAGTCAGAGATTTTAACACCACTCTTCCAATAATTTACAAAATAAATAGGCATAAAATCAGCAAGGCTATAGAAGGTTTGAATAATGCTGTCAACAAACTTGGCTTGACATTTATAGAACACGGCACCCCCAAGCAGCAGAATACACATTCTTTTCAAGTATACATGAAACATTTACCACGACAGACCATATTCTAGGATATAAAAAATGTTTCAATAAATTAAATATTCAAGTCAATTTAAGAGCAATGTATGTTTTCTGACCAAAAGGAGAAGTAATTAGATATAAATATATGTTCACAATGTGAGGTTAAAAAAAAAAATGAATAGCAGAAAGATATCAGAAAATAGATAACTATTTCAGAAACTAAATAACACTAAAAAAACCCTATAGGAATTAAATAACCCATGGTTCAAAGAAGAAAGCAGAAATGAAATTACAAAATATTTTGAACTGAACAAAAGTGGAAATACATAGCTGGGTGTTGTGGAAAGCGCCTGTAGTCCCAGCTACTTGAGAGGCTGAGGCAAGAGAATGGCTTAAGCCCACAAGTTTGAGGTTGCTGTGAGCTGTGACACCACAGTACTCTACCCAGGGCAACAGCTTGAGACTCTGTTCCCCCCCCCCCAAAAAAAAAGAAAAAAAGAAAATATACTATATCAAAATTATAGGATGTAGCTAACTTAGGGTAGAAAGGAAATTTATAACATCAAATACTTATACACAAAAAGAAGAAGCTAGATGTGGTTACTCATGCCTGTAGTCCCAGCTACTGGGGAGACTGAGGCAAGAGGATTGTTTGAGCGCAAGAGTTTGAAGTTGCAGTGAGGTATAATAGTGCCATTGCATCTCAGCCTGGGCAAGACCCTGTCTCAAAAAAAAAAAAAAAGTAAAGAAAGAAAAAATAATAAAAGAGGTTGCAGTGACCTATTATGACACCACTGTACTCTAGAAAAAAGAAAAAGAAAAAGAAAAGAGCTTTCAAATCAGTTCCAGCTTCCAACTTAAGAAACTAGGCCAAGTATGATGGCTCACAACTGTAATCCGAGGACTCTGGGTAGTAATCCTAAGCAAAGGTGGGTGGTTTGCTTGAGCTCAGGAGTTCAAGACCAGCCTCAGCAAGAGTGAGACCCTCTTTCTAGCCCCCCCCCCCAAAAAGACAGAAAAATTAGCCAGGCATTGTGGTGGGCACCTGTAGTCCCAGCTATTTAAGAAGTTGAGGCAAGAGGATCACTTGAGCCCAAGAATTTGAGGCCGCTGTGAGCTATGACACCACAGCGCTCTACCCTGGGGCAAAGAGTGAGATTCTGTTTCAAATAAATAAATACATAAGTAAATAATGATTTATCAAAACAATAATGCTTAGTGGTCTTTATATCAGCTAATTTCATGTATTGAATGTATTTTAATTAACATAGGTGTTATTTCAATGATTGCTTCTCAATTTCTTTTTAAAAGTTTGATCTTAGGAAATATTTACCAGAAATCTATTCACAGGAAAGTATGAAATCAAATTTCAGGCCAATGTCCATCCAAAATTTGCATGATTTGGAATCTAATTGATTACACTTAAGCAGGGTCAGTTTATAAAATGCTTATGCTTATTTTCTTCCTCTTGACAATCTCAAAATATATTAGGAATCTTTTCTTTGCAATTGCAGGTATGAAAGCAAATCTAAGACATATCCTCCCTTTAACCATGAGAACCCTAAATGATACTAAGTAAACATCCACTGCATGTTGTTGACCTTAGCCAAGATCCTAACATAAGTTTCTTAAAATAATGCAAACTTCCTATTCATATATTGAACATTAGCTATTTAATCAATTTTCAACTATGTATGTGTATGTAAGTTAGAAGAACATTTTCTTTTTTTTTTTT